TTTAAACCACAGATTTTTTAAATAAAAGTATTGAAGAATACTTCAAAACAATTAACTAAGCATTTTTTTTGCTAGTGATGAATCTGCAAAACAATTACTTTTTAAGACTTTTCTTCTGGTGACATACAGTAATTAACTAAAATTAAAATCAAATTTGCAATTATCTCATTAACAAAATACATGTTTGCAAATTTTTTATGTGAATAGATCTAAGAGTGATTTAGTACAAATGTTATATCGATACATTATAAATTTCAAAAATCACATATGATATACTGTTGTTGTGCAAATATATCTTTAAGAGTGGTGCTTTTGCTATTATTATCATTAATTACACAACTTATAAATATTTAAATCATAATGTAATTTCTGATATACATGTTGAACATCACCATATTACTCTGCGTAGCTATAAAAGTCTTTGTATTGTTGTATACAAGTTTGAAAAAATTTTCAGATGTTTAAGAACTGTATTTTCTACAGTACTTTTAATTAAATTAGCATTACTTACAAAGTACGAAAGTAAATAGTTATAAAATTGTTGCTTTCTAATTTCAAAAACAAGGTATTTTGATCAAAAAATGCTATTATCCATTAAACCTACTCAGTACTTCTTTTTGAGTAAAAATATTTGTTTATGTTTTCAAGTTTAATTTCGCAATCTACACTAACAGTTTTTCTTTATTCCTGTCAGGTTTTAGTATGTATAATTGTTTTTTCAAATTTTTGGTCAAGGTATGTTTTTCTATCCTGTTTCCTATCAGCTCTGAATGTATACAAATGCATTTGTTTTTGAAAGTCTGATGAAAGATGCTTTGCAAAGTTTTCTATCAAAGTTTAAAATTTTGTTCAATAGTCAGCATAGTTTCACTAAAGAAAAATCTTGCCTTACTGATCTTTTGACACTCTTTGAAGAAGTTACTGCTTATGTGGATGTGGTGTATCTGGATTTTCAGAAAGCATTTGACAAGGTGCAACATAAAAGGCTTGTTAAAAAAAAAGGTATCTCTGTAGGTGTGGAGGAGGTTGAACCATTGGTTAGAAAACTGGCTAGTTGGAAGAGAGCAGAGGGTTGTTATAAATGGAGTTCAATCAAATCGAATAAATGTCATGAGTGGTGTACTGTTAGTACCTTTGCTCTTATTGATTTACATCAATGACATAGACGAAGGAATGGTCAATAGATTATTTAAACTTGCTGATGACATTAAAGTTTTGAGTGTTCCTGGCTGTGAGGAGGATGCCACTGCCTTAC